AGTTCTTTTCTGAATGGAGCATCCAAGCTTCCCACAAGCAGCATAAAGATGGATCTGGGAGCCATAAAGCAAGTTCTTTTCTGAATGGAACATTCAAGCTTCCCACAAGCAGCAAAAAGGTGGATCTGGAAGCCATAAAGCAAGTTCTTTTCTGAATGGAGCATCCAAGCTTCCCACAAGCAGCATAAAGATGGATCTGGAAGCCATAAAGCAAGTTCTTTTCTGAATGGAACATCCAAGCTTCCCACAAGCAGCATAAAGATGGATCTGGAAGGCATAAAGCAAGTTCTTTTCTGGATGGAACATTCAAGCTTCCCACAAGCAGCATAAAGGTTGATCTGGAAGGCATAAAGCAAGTTCTTTTCTGAATGGAGCATCCAAGCTTCCCACAAGCAGCATAAAGATGTATCTGGAAGCCATAAAGCAAGTTCTTCTCTGGGTTAATGAAAGCAACAAACCACAAATAGACAGTACCTCTAACATAATATTTGCAACTGACTCACTGGATAAGATTCAGAGGTGGTCACCAGATGGATGGAAGAAAGCAAAGCAACTGCATGGTTAGATTATCACCTGAATGTATAGTGCCAAGCCATGTATTGGTATAGCTAAACAAGGAGGCTGACAATCTTGCAGGAGAAGCCACTTTATCGAGTAAAGTTAAAGCAGCGACGATGTAGGATCTTCATCCACATTCAGAGGGGATGAGACCACTGGAAAAGTAAGAAAAAGCAAAGGATGGATAATCAGTTGGACAGTATACAGCCATAAGGCCACTGGTGATGTCAGTAAAGGAACCCTCTTCTTCTATATCTTGGGAGGTAGGGTGTCTCTACGTAAGGGTTGAGTGCAACCCTTGGAATTGTACCTAGTAGTCAGTCTGGAGTATAAATTACAGTACTAGTTATGGGAAGTTGCATAATTAGTGTTTACTTAGAGCACCTATTTACCTCCTCCTGGTGGAGCTGTTGTTGAGTTTTTCATTTGTTTTGATCAGAGTCATTTATTTCAGAATAGACTGTCTTTCTTGCGTGTAGCTATTATAAAAAGAGATCAAGTGGACAATATGGTTGGTTAAATAGTGATACTTAAGTATTATTAAAATCAATATATATATATATTGTATTTCTGTTTTTTAGGCATTTAAATTTATTAATACTAAAATTTTAAAATAAGCATCATTATATATTTTTATATCTGTTATTATTATTATTATTATTACTAAGACTAAACAATGACTGTCTGTTTTCTAAAATTACAGCTGGTCATCCAGAGCTATGAATATTTCGAGACCCTGTGCAGGGTAAGTTTGATTAGGTTATTCTACATTTTTGTTTTATTTGTAATAAACTACAAATAGGAAATTTGAGCCTGATTACTGAAAACTTCTTTACTTAATCCATTAACTATTTTTTTTAATTAAAACTTAATAAACCAAAAGACAACCAAAAACAAAAAATATTTATCCTTCTGAAGCAGATCTATAAAATATAGATAAATCATGCATAGATATTTTTTCTTTATATATTATCTAAAATAATGTAGTAATTTTAACTGTCTTGTCTTCCCACCAGAATTGGTAAGAAGACTTAACCGCTTAATGTTTGAATTAGTTTACTTACCCTTAACCTATACCTTTTGTTTTATTATTGTTTAACAATAATTTCAGTTACCTATAGTTTTAATTGGAGAATGTTCTAGACATGCTTTCATTCTCTTCTCTTTACTGCATACATCCATTTCAGCTTTTGTGGTCTGTAAAGTTAATCATTTTTAAGTAATTTGTTCATATGTGATAAGAGTGTCAGGTATGAATGCAACATTGTGCTCTACAGTTTTAACCTCTTTTTGCTGACACTTAGATTTTCATTAAACAATAATAGTGTGAAGTTCACATTGATAGTAAACATTCATAATAATGAGGATACTTAGTGAAGTTACATTTAGATTTTCATTAAACAATGATATTGTGAAGTTCACATTGATAGTAAACATTCATAATAATGAAGATACTTAGTGAAGTTACATTTGGATTTTCATTAAACAATGATATTGTGAAGTTCACATTGATAGTAAACATTCATAATAATGAGGATACTTAGTGAAGTTTCATTTGGATTTTCATTAAACAATAATAGTGTGAAGTTCACATTGATAGTAAACATTCATAATAATGAGGATACTTAGTGAAGTTTCATTTGGATTTTCATTAAACAATAATATTGTGAATTTCACATTCATAGTAAACATTCATAATTATGAAGATACTTAGTGAAGTTACATTTGGATTTTCATTAAACAATAATATTGTGAATTTCACATTCATAGTAAACATTCATAATAATGAGGATACTTAGTGAAGTTACATTTAGATTTTCATTAAACAATGATATTGTGAAGTTCACATTGATAGTAAACATTCATAATAATGAAGATACTTAGTGAAGTTACATTTAGATTTTCATTAAACAATAATAGTGTGAAGTTCACATTGATAGTAAACATTCATAATAATGAGGATACTTAGTGAAGTTACATTTGGATTTTCATTAAACAATAATAGTGTGAAGTTCACATTCATAGTAAACATTCATAATTATGAAGATACTTAGTGAAGTTACATTTAGATTTTCATTAAACAATGATATTGTGAAGTTCACATTGATAGTAAACATTCATAATAATGAGGATACGTAGTGAAGTTACATTTAGATTTTCATCAAACAATAATAGTGTGAAGTTCACATTGATAATAAACATTCATAATAATGAGGATACTTAGTAAAGTTTCTTTCTGTGGTAACTGAAATTTTGTACTTGATAGAGTTGTTTTATAACAAAATTTTGTTAAAAAGTAATTTAACCCCTAATAACAATTGAAGTAGTTGAGATATTTTGTAGTATTTTGTAGGGAAATAAAAACTATGAAAACATTTTAGGCATTCACTTGGCTTGTTCCTGGTTATCTGATTGGAGGGGAAAAAAAGAAATCTGAAAAAGCAAGGTAGATTTATTTGTTCTAATATTTAATTATTGCTACAAGTTATGTTAGTAATGATGTTTCAAAAACTTTTTTTACTGATTTAAATATGTCCTTGATTGTCAGTTTTTATGAGTGGAAAAATAAATTTTGAGATGAAAAGAGATTTTCTCATTTTATGTTCTACAAAATTCTGAAGTAATATTTTTGAAGTACGTGATCTTCAAATTCGAAAATATTTTAACAATTCTAAGTATAATGAAAGAAGTGATCATTAAGAAAATTAACTAGATTTAAAAAAAAACAGAAACTTGAGAATTTTTGTATAGTTAAATATTCTTCTGGAGTAAAATAGAGCAAGAACAGTCAGCTATTCGAAAAGGCTTGAGGTTCTGGATTTTTTGCTATCTACAATTCTAAGTACATTGCCAAACATTTGATAAATTTTTCTAAATTACAGTACTAATTGTACAAAAATAGAAATTTTTAATAATATCTTTTTTTTTTTGTCCTCATTATTTATAATATTGGAGGAGATTTGGTTAAGATAGCAAAATAACAAGACAAAGAGATCTTCAGTTGGGTGAATACTGTTGTTAAGTTAGGTCAAGATTAATTTGATGTTTGTGGGTTCGAATCCCATCACCGAACATGATTTCATATTCAGTTGTAGGGGTGTTATAATGCGATGATCAATCATACTTCTTGTTTAGAGTAGTCCATGAGTTGGTGGTGTTGACTATCTGTCTTCTCTGTAGCTTGTCACTTATAAATTAGGGATGGCTAATGCAGGTAGCCCTGAGTGGCTTTGCAAAATATTCAACCAAACAAATAAAGAAACAAGATTGATTTCATGCACTTAAGTGTGTGTGTGTGTGTCAAAACAAGTTGAATTTTGCAAACATGTCTTTCTTAAGAACATTTAAGGTTGAAAAAGTTTAATAAAAAAAATGCAGATTTTTCAACTGTCGTACTTTATGTTAATTGACAGTTCTTTTCTGTTTGGTATTATTCTACCTCAGTGAATACTAGATCGTGCACTAACTCTTCTTTTTCTTCATACAGGATTCGTAAAGGGCTGTCTATATTGATCAGCACACCAGGACGATTACTCGATCACATCGAACACACAGCAAACTTGTCTTTTAGCAATGTCAAATGGTTTATTATTGATGAGGCCGATAGGTAGTAACTTCATATTTATCTTCTACCTTTATATTAGAAACACTTATAAATAATAATAAATAATTATTCTGTCTTTGATTATGTTAATTTCTGAATATGAATATATTTAATCAGTAAATTACATATCATTGTTCTGACTTTGATATCCAGAATTGAAAAGTTACTGTACATATCTAGTTAACTTATAATGGCTTTTATATTGAATGTATAAAATATGAAACTTATATGTTATTTGTAAATTTAAAGTTAAGAACTTACAAATCCTACTTGTACATATAATTGTTAGAATAAGAACTAAAATAGTTATAAAATTAAAATTTTAAAACTTACATTAGCTTTTTTTTTATTTCACTATTATAATATTTCTTTTAATGTTATAATTCTTCTCTAACATCTATAATGAAAGATTGTCATTCAATACTAATAGACTCATTAGAAATGTACATCCTGATGAGCCATTATCAGAACTCCTTAACCTTTTCATGAGTCAGGCTTTTTTTTTTAAATGAGCTGAAAAAAGTAAGGTTTTTTATTTCTCTTTTTGATAGACTATACTCATATTATTGAAACAAAACTTTTCTATGATCTGTTATTACATTTATGCACAAAATATACTTCATAATTAAATATTGCTTATCTGGATTTATACTATTTCAATGAAACTACAGTGAAGAATTGGAATTCTTTTCTCTAGTGTTTATGATACCTAATTCCAATGCCATCTAGCGAGCATGTGATTGAATTTGGGAATTAATTAAAAATACAGTGAGATATATTTTTTGAAACATTGAAGGTTCCCAAATCGTCTCATGCAAATCATGGAAGGTGCTAAGATAACTAGCCATGGGTGTTTTAAGAAATGTTCAAACACTGTATTTAGCAGTTTGAAGATGATAAGCTGACTGTAAGAATAGTATAGTATTTTCCAAAGATGACAATAAGCTTATGCTTTGAGAATAAGGATGGTTGTTAGTTAAAGGCTATTTAAGTCAGAAAATCTGATGAAACGGTGAAGTAGCTCATGTAAGAAAATGTTTGATCTGATTATAGTTTTAAAGTACTGTGAACTACAGGCAGTGATTCAAGGTGTTTAAGTATCACTTACAGAGAACAATGATCCCAGGTTTTTAAATATCATTCACAGAGAACACTGATCCCAGGTTTTTAAATATCATTCAAGAGAACACAGATCCCAGGTTTTTAAATATCATTCAAGAGAACACTGATTCCAGGTTTTTAAATATCATTCAAGAGAACACAGATCCCAGGTTTTTAAATATCATTCAAGAGAACACTGATTCCAGGTTTTTAAATATCATTCACGAGAACACAGATCCCAGGTTTTTAAATA